CTTTAATTATTTGTTATACAGTACACAAAAAGTCATTTAGTTTATTCAAATGGGAGATATGAGCAACATGTATAAATACATCATTGGTTCATATAGTGAACTTGGTGTAGAGCTATTCCCCCTGAGGTCATCACAGAGGACAAGGGGGCACTCTTTACGTCTGGAGGAAAAGAAATGTAATCTCCAAACATGGAAAGGTTTCTCTTCACAGTGAGAGCTGTGAAAATATGGAATAGACTCCCTCAAGAGTTGGTTCAGGTCAGCTCCGTGGATTGCTTTTAAAAAAAGGCCTGGATTCTTTCTTGGATACACAGAATATAACTGGATACTAACATTTATAGGTAAAGTTGATCCAGGCAGTATCCAATTACCTCTCGGGGGATCAGGAAGGAATTTTTTTTTCCCTGCAGGACCAAATTGGATCATGCTTTGCTGGGTTTTTTTGCCTTCCTCCGAATCAACTGTGGGTGTAGGATTATAACTTTTTTTTTTTTTTAATGGTTGAACTGGATGGAGTTTTGTCTTTTTTCAGCCAAACTATGTAACTATGTAACAAATTATGGAATTGTAACATTATATGTGTGTGGCTCTTTGTGATCTACAGAAAAAAGATAACTATTTTAGGTGCTATACGGAGGCAAAGACTCCAGAAACATTTGTGGAAATCTGCGTATATAATACACAGGTCCATATGGATAATAATTATGAACACCATGGATTGACACACGGGACTCTATAAAATGTGCATTATTTCTTTTTTTTTTTTAAATGTTTTTAAAATACATGACCATTAACCATACTTTAGAATTCATTTTGTATAACATTTTCAATAAAAATATTTGTATTTCTTTATTGTTTATTAAAGCGTATATAAACCCAAATTTAATATATTGTAATGTGGTGGCCGCAGTAGTTTTCTTGTTCAGGCTTTTTTCCCCTTTATTTTCACCTGGTGATCTGGCCAATTAGCTTGTTATTTTTCAACTTTAACAGACCAAGCTGTCTAGCAGAAGTGATAGTTAGAGGGTTCAGACAAACTATTTAACAGTCACGGGTGCTTACAATGGTCAGCTGTTATTCATTTAGTTAAAACCTTTATCCCACAAGAAAAAAAAAACTTTCTATAAATGCAAAAAGTGGTTGTATCCATGAAGGTAAAAAAACTTCAGTGTGCAGCTCCCCCTGCAGCCCCCCTCTAATATTTACCTGAGCCTAATCCCAATTCAGCAATGTGCACAAGAGCCGTGGCTCTCTCGGGTCTCTGCCTCCTCGCTGCTGTCAATTACAGCCAATGAGGAGGGAGCAGGGGCGGGACTGAGCCACTCTGTGTGTCCCATAGACACACTGGGGTAGATTTACTAAAACTGGTTCACTCAGAATCTAGTGCAGCTTTGCATGGTAGCCAATCAGCTTCTAACCTCAGCTTGTTCAGTTAAGCTTTGGCAATAAAACCTGGAAGCTGATTGGTTTCTATGCAGAAATGCATCTAATTTTGTACTCCCCAGCATTAGTAAATAAACTCCACAGGCAGCTCAGGAGCAAGCATGCACCACTGCACCCAGAGCAAGCAGCTTGCTCTGGGGGCACTCAGCAGGAAGGAGGTGCCAGAATTGCCGGAAGGGGACCTGAGAAGAGGAGGATTGGGGCTGCTCTGTGCAAGACCATTGCACAGAGCAGGTAAGTATAACATGTTTGTTATTTTAAAGAAAACAAAAAGAACCTTTATAACCATTTTAAAAAGTACTTGGAATTAGGCTTTAAAGTGCTACTAAACCCAGGATCCTGCATTCATCCTATATTTGGTTTTCACAGTACAATTATTTTAGTAAATATAAACTGCTAAATACTTTTTCTCATCAGCAGTTAGAGCAATCTTGTGACTTCACTTCTATCAGTGCCAGCAGAGCACTGGTTAAAGTTTTTAGGAGGAGTTTTTTTCATTCTTTTCTGATTGTCCTATGAGGCTGCAGGACCCCTGACCCTCTGTCTGGACAGTACTGATTGGCCCTGCGCTGATCCCATGCACTCTGCCAAGAAAAAAAAATTCTCTAGCAATACACACCAAACTGAGCATGTGCAGCTTGCCCCCCCCCCCCCCCCAAGACTCTATTATATCAGCAGATGGATTGGGGACAGTAGAATAAGGGGAGGATCATAGGAGACAGGATCAAACATCCTTTTTTACACAATGTGGAGGATTAACCCGTTAGTTTCAACAGTAAATATAACCAGCCTGCTTTACTGCATATACAGACTGATTTGACTGTTGTGGGTTTAGTAAAACTTTAATGTGTTAGTTATTTATGTAAAGTCCAACTAAATGTACTAGTCTATCTGACACTACTATCCTTTGCTGTTCAAGGTTGTCTCCATTGCTCCTATATAAATAGTGGAGCCACCCTAAACAAGCAAGTGTGTTACTGGTTATATCACCTGGAAAAAAGGAATAAAACAAGAAAAATAAAAGGCGCCATCACATCTAATCCCATTAGGCTTCAGTTTTTTGCTAGTCTCCTAAGATGATGGATGTTTTTTTCCTTTTTATAGAAACGTTTAACCAATTTTTAAATGAATTTTTTTCAACAACATTTTTTCATTCTGTCAAGTCTCCATCATTTCGCTGTTGTGCTTAGCTTTTACCCAGCTCTCAGGATGGAATAATCCTTGGGGCTTGCCTGTAATGTGACCTTCAGCACTGGGTTTAGGTTGTGGCTTTCCCCCAGACACCTAGGAGTTTATTGACTAATGCTGGACAGTGCAAGACTAGGCTCACTTCTGCATAGAAACCAGCATCCAGATTTTATTACCAAAGCTTAATTGAACAAGCTGAGCGTAGAAGCTGATTGGCTACTGTGCAGAAGTAAGCCTGATTTTGCACTCTTCAGCTTTAGTAAATAAACCCCATGTATGCTAGTGTCAGCGATGCAGGTGTGACCAGAAGTGTGTGGACTGACACAGGGAAACGTAGGCTTCAGATATAGTAAATAATATAATTTATTGAGACTAACAATACAAATATAAACGCAGTGCACCAAACCCCAAGCTAACACAAATACATACAACAAGGTGAAACAAACCCAAACCTAAACTGATATAGATACAAAGGTACATACACATATAGAGCACAACGTAGTCAAGCAGGCCGGGTCGATAACTATCGGGCAGGTAGGTACAGGAGGAGCAGGCGGAGAGAATGGTCAGGGTCACAAGCCAGGGATCAAACAGGAGAAGTCAGCAGAGGTCAGGATCAGGCAGGGTCGGCAACAAGTCAGGCAGAAACAGGAACAGGACCAGGAATGCAGGTTACAAGATACAGGGGCCCATGGAAAAACACACACCAAGGCCCTGACTGTGAGTCTGGCCATTCCTTAAATACAACCCCTGCAATCAGCTTCAGGTGTTTTGGCTGACTGCAGGGGTGAGTCTCTGATTGCTGAGAGCACCCGCTGGCCAGCCCTGGTACTGCAGCCCACAAGGCAGGTGAGTCCCACCGTTATTGGCAAGTCCATTCCTGACAGCTAGATTGTTAGCCGCCGACAGATTTACAGATCCAGGGCTGTGGCACAGTTTCTGGTGTTGCGTAGTCCCTGATGACTCCCTCATGGATGGGGTGCAACTTTATGACATTTGATCACTGGGCTCTATGTACGGCACCCTCTGGTACCCTGGTACTGTGCTTGTCCACCGCAAAGTGCTCTCCAGCCCTAGGACTATGGAAAGTCTCTAGCAGTTAGCCCAAAATGGTCAATGGTCACACTGTTCATTTTTATACTGCAATTACTTTTACCTATTTCCTGTGAAAGAGTTAATGCACTGGAGGATTAAATGCTGGATCACTCATTGCAGCACACTCTACACTATCTCTTCCTGCCTTTCCAGTGTGGTAGTGACCAAATCCTTTTGCTGCCGATGACTGCCTGACAATGGAAATATGAATATCAAAAGTACATTCTATTTTTTAGGGTCTCAGCTGAGACAAATTCATTAATGCTGATACAACTGTCAACAAAGAGGATAGGAACTTTGGGGTGCATTTTCAATAAATGCTGCCAGTTAACCTGCCCATCACCCACTTTGCCATGTTTAGCACAGTTTTATCAAATTGGAAGCACGTTGTTCAAAAAGAACAGAGGTCTACACAGTGACCTCGAAGCATGAATGGTAATGACAGAACTCCTTAATGCATTTTACACCAAAGTGCCAAATGATAAGGTCATGGTAAAATAATAAGATGCTTTGTTAATTAAAAAATATTCTGATTATGAGTATAATTCTTATAGATGGTTTGATCTTATGTGTTGTGCTCATTACATTTTTTCATAGGTCTATTCTCATATTTAACACTAGTTGTTATAGAAATTATGGAATATGGAGTCCAGAAAGAGTTATTTATATGTAAACTGTTGTCTTACCAAACTCTAACTGCAATTTGTTTGAGAAAAAATCCTTTTATGTAAAAAATACAAAATTTGTAGGGGGTCCATATTGCTAAAATAGTCGCAGACATGCAGAGAAATGGAAAAAGACATTATGCCCATTTGGCTTCTCTTACGATGCACAGCTCTGCAGGCAGAGTTCAACATAAAAGATGATACTCTGAATTCCTTGGATTCCTTTAGCCACTAGATGCCAATTTGTTTACACAAGCATATGATCTGTAGCAACAGTAAGAAAGTATGAAATACTAGAGATGCTGTATAACACCCTTCCTTTATCTCCTGAGAGTGAAGCAATGACTTATATGCCAACAACTAATTCTGGTTGGTAATGTTGATCAGTGAGTCATCTGCATACTGAAGATCTGGGTATAGCTCTATAGGTAGAAAAAAATGTTTAGTAGAATATATTTGCAAATTTTTACAGAGTGGTCATGCGAAATTATTAATCTTTTTGACCAAATGTGGTGTTTCTTCTCTAAATATTCTGTAAATCTAAGTAACACATTTTATACCAACTATCTAAATCCATAATTTGCTAATCAGCCTGTCATTTATTTGCAGGCCTGGACACATGCTGGCATTTTACTGAAACACAAGTACAGCTTTCTGGTTGGATGTGCCTCTATCTCTGATGTCATAGCACAGGTAAACGTTTACTTCAATAATTATAACTAGTTCCATAGTGGCTCATCTAGCTACTATGGGTTGAAAAGGGTTCCTCCACTCATTTTACAGGGTTGTTGCTTTAGACAAGATTATAAACACATGTTTTTAAGCCAGTGGAGTGCCCTGCTTTTGTGCAGAATGTGGAAATGGTTTACCAGACTAGATACTGCATTGAAATAAACTTTTCTTTGGAACATTGAATCCATCTTTCTTTTCCTGTATTAGTTAACACACTGCTTTGGCAGCAGCAGAAAAGAGCCCAATGAGTGACTAAAGGCAGGCTAGATACAAAATAGGATAAAGAAGTGAGACAAAGCTACAAGATTTATCTTCTGCATAGCTACAATCTCTCTGTGTGAATCCATTAGTTTTATTTTGATAGTTTCACCCCACCCACCTACCCTCTGTTGGAAGAGATATACTGTAGCATGACAAGGCTCTGGATGCTCTACCTGATCTACTACTGTATGTAGGTAATATAAGAATCAGTTGCACACAACCAGGGGCGGACTGACAACTCATGGGGCCCCCTGTGTCCTTGCCCACACTCAAAGTACACACAAAAAAAGCCTATAAAAGGTACCAGGGGCATTTCATGGGGTCCTCCTACTGACCCGGCCCCTGGGGCAGTGCCTGAGTGCTCGAATGGTCAGTCCGCCCCTGCACACAACTACTGTAGTTTCATGGTGCTATGCTGATGTTCTGCTGCTTTAGTTATAAGTAGTAGGTTATTTCAACAGATGTCTGACTTCAAAATCTCATGCACTTAAAGCATAAAGCTGAATTCTTCTTTAAGCAGTTTTGATGAATAAAAAGTTTCTGGTTATACAGTATAATATAAACTGATATGGCATTCCTAGAGGCTAAACACTTTCTTTACATCCTAAATGCTACTAATTAATGTATTGCTTTATGACTCATTTGTAATAATTAAGTAAGTTACTTAGTGTAAATGTTACTAGGAGTAAAGGTACAAATATGCAGCTAAACTAAATTGCAGCTATGATGACAAGTGTATGTTAAACAGCCCTAAGGGAACCTATAGACAGTGCAAGGAAGCTCCAGTTTCCACACCATGCATACCAGAGTGCCCTTCACCCCACCTTATGGGTATCACCTCAACTTAATTGTTGGACCCCCACTGATAATAAGAGGCCAACTGTACTTTATTTACACATGTACAAACATAACTCCTCTCCAGTCTTCCTCTTTCCTCGTAGACCGTCTCCCAATGGCAAAAATAATATGGGGGAAGCAAAAAAGACACTAATAGTGTAGATCATTCTTACAATTTTTATTGAAAATGGTAAAAAAAAAACACATTCCAGCAGATAAAACAAGGCATGTCACATCCACACCAATATATGGTGTCAAGACTCCTCTCAACGTGATGACCTCACAAGCAGTGTTCACTTTATGTACCAGCTGAAAATATGTAATCTCAAAACCGAAACATAGTGTTAGTCCAACCGTTTTTTCTGTTGGAAGTGGGGGAAGATTGGAATCATGTAAGCTATAATAGCTGACTGTACATGTACTGCAGAAGTTTCCTCTAAATTCCTTTTATGTCACCCAGACAGGAAGAACTAGAACATTTCTTAGGCAGCCTATACATGAGTCATTTTTTTTTTTTAAAAAAACTGACCCGATTCCCCTACACTCAGTGTGGATAGGGGGATCCTTCCATTGAGTTGTTGTATTCTAAGAGCAGGGAAGCTTCCCCATTATTAGAATACACTGATCAGCTTTGCAGGCTATAGCAGGTAAGCCAACCTGGACACGCACTGTCTGCATTCAGGGCCACTTACCTGCTTGCCTATGTCTATAACATTAGGACCAGTGGCTGTGCCTTTGTAGCCACCGCATCTTAATAGATTACAATGGACTGCCTGCACACAACACCTGAAGGCTGAGATGCTGCAAAAACCATCCCGTTCATGCTGTGTGGGCCTCACTGCCCGTATAAACAAAACCTTACTGGTGTTTAGCCACATGATTATTTGTGCAAGTATAGGCTACATTAGCCAACATCAGTGGTCTTTTCAGCTGGAAATAAAAGATTTTTTTTTTAATATTAAAACAATTATTAAAACAATTAGTGTACAGGACTACTTTTCTCTGCTGTGCTGTTTATGTTAAATCTGAATGCAGATAAGATATCAAACTGCCTATAGATTGCTACTAAAGAGCAACACCTTAGATCTCAAAAGTCTGGACTGCACTGCACATGCCCAGAAGAAAGGATGAAATAAACTTGCGAGGAAAGAGGGAAGACGTTTTTTGAGTCAGAAGAGGCTTTTAAATCTCTTCTTCCAAAAAATTTTCCTTCAAGCTTTTTTTTTTTTAATCAGTTCCACCTTCTATTTTAAAAGGTTAATTTAAGTCTTGGCACAGATTTGTATGTATTTTATGTAGATCTTAAGATGATATAGTTTCAATGAGTAAAGTGCTGTAGCATGTTGTTGTCAGGTTAGCTTTTGTTTCTGATCAACATTTTGCCTGCAGCACTGCTGTTTTATGTTTTGTAGATATCATTATGTATTTATTATTCATTGGAAGGAGTTATGTGGATTTTTTCTGCCTTCTCTGCGGAGCTCCTAGATGACAATTTAGGTGTTTCACTTGCTTTCATTTTGGCATGTTTATACCAGCCTTCTGGGGTGCCTTGAAAAAATGCCTAAAAATTGCCCAAAAATTGTATACAAACCAGCAAGTGGATCAAGCCTGCCTTTCAGTTATACCAAGCCACAGGTTTTTATTGTGCACCATTACAACCTTTTCTAGCGGCCAACAATATAAAAATCCCAATGATGTAATCAGTTGATAAGAAGGACATCGCACACCTGCATAGCATCCTTGCTTGCCTCTCCCATGTCCCTCTCCGTGAGCACTAGGGTCACATTACCTGAGTGATGGAGAGAAATTGATGGAGAAGAGAAACAATGGAATACTAGTCACTACCAGTGTGCAAAGGTGTATTCACTTTGGAAGAATATATCACCTCTGACGTTGGGTGTCCCACATGTGCAGATGTTGCTGCATTCTGTAAAACTATCAGTTTAGTTTTTTACATTTTGTAATGGACGCCTCAAAATTGTGCAGAATTTTAAAGGGTACCTCGAGATTAAGTAGAATTTTAAAGGGTAACTTGTCTGAAAAAATGTTGAGAAACACTGGTTTATACCACACTGCTGCTGTGCTTCAGAAAGAGATCACTCAAAAATAGCCTTGGCATAGTACATCATATGAAGTTTGTATCAAGCTGGAACTGTGTAAGATTTATAAGTGTGGTATATAAGGCTCTAAATGTTTGTGCTGATTTGTGTACTTTGGAACTGTTACCAGTGATGGTATTATAATGCAATTATTGCAATAGGATGGCTGTTAGAACATATGGTAACAATGTGTTAATCGTTATGCAAACAATGTGTGAAACTGTAATACACACTTATACAGTATGTTTCACTTACATATCAGCTGGACATACGATTTTCTTTAACCACTTGCTGTCCAGAGGAAAAAACCCCCTGCCCTTCCTGACCAGGCCATTTTTGTGCAATACAGCACTGCATTACTTTAACTGAAAATTCTGCGGTCATGCAGTGCTGCACCCAAAATGAAATATACATCCTTTTTTCCCACAAATTGAGCTTTCTTTTGGTGGTAATTGATCACCAGTGCGGTTTTTTAATTTTTGCGCTATAAAAAAAAAAAGCCCGACAAAAAAAGAAAAAAAATATTTTTTGACTTTTTCTGCCTATTTTAAACAATGTCCAGTATAAAAATAAAAAAAATCTAATTTTGTCATAAATGTAGCCAAACCTTGTCTCAAAATTCTGGACTACATGTCTTTGCCCAAAAAAAAAAAAAAACCGAATAAAGTAAACGTTAATTTGAGTCACGAAGAGGCTTTTAAATCTAGCTTCTACCAAAAAATTTTCCTTCAAGCTTTTTTTTTTTTAATCAGTTCCACTTCTATTTTAAAAGGTTAATTTAAGTCTTGGCACAGATTTTATGTATTTTATAGTAGATGGTTAAGATGATATAGTTCTGACATGAGTAGTGCTGTAGCATGTTGTTGTCAGGTTAGCTTTTATTTCTGATCAACATTTTGCCTGTGCACACTGCAATTTTATGTTTTGTAGATATCATTATGTATTATTATTCATTGCCAAGGAGTTATGTAGATTTTTTCTGCCTTCTCTGTGGAGCTCCTAACATGACAATTTAGGTGTTTCACTTGCTTTCATTTTGGCTGTTTTACCAGCCTTCTGGGGTGCCTGAAAAAATGCCTAAAAATTGCCCAAAAATTGTATACAAACCAGCAAGTGGATCAAGCCTGCCTTTCTGTTATACCAAGCCAGGTTTTTATTGTGCACCATTACAACTTTTCTAGCGGCCAACAATATAAAAATCCCAATGATGTAATCAGTTTTGATTTACAGGACAGCACACCTGCCATCCTTGCTTGCCTCTCCCATGTCCCTCTCCGTGAGCACTAGGGTCACATTACCTGAGTGATGGAGAGAAATTGACGGAGAGAGAAACAATGGAATGACTAGTCACTACCAGTGTGCAAAGGTGTATTCACTTTGGAAGATTTATCACCTCTGACGTTGGGTGTCCCCACCTGCAGATGTTTGCTGCATTCTGTAAAACTATCAGTTTAGTTTTTTACATTTTGTAATGGACGCCTCAAAATTGTGCAGAATTTTAAAGGGTGCCTCGAGATTAAGTAGAATTTTAAAGGGTAACTTGTCTGAAAAAATGTTGAGAAACACTGGTTTATACCACACAAATGTGACTTCAGAAAGGAGATAAAAATAGCTTGGCATAGTACATCATATGAAGTTTGTATCAAGCTGGAACTGTGTAAGATTTACATCAGTGTGGTATATAAGGGCTCTAAATGTTTGTGCTGATTGTGTACTTTGGAAACTGTTACCAGTGATGGTATTATACAATATTGCAATAGGATG